AAGCCGAGTTCGTGGCCGATTCCTCCACTGAGCTCCTTGACTACCTGGTGGACAGCTTCGAGTTGTTCTGCTGTGTCCATACCATGGCATTCTTGGGTTACAGATTCAACCTGAACAGACTTGCTTCATAGTGAAACGACTCTTGAACCCTCCATAGCCTATGGTGGAGATAATATTTTAGCGCGAAATCTCTTGTGCCGCCTTAAGTCTAAGTAGTCTAAGTGTGGGTGCGTTCGGTTGCGATGATTTCAAGACATGCTTGTGATCAAAGATTATCAAAGCCGATGGCCTGAGGAGGAAGGACAAACTCCCCGCCATTTCTTTCCACCATCCTTGGCAATGCTTGGGCAATGCTTGGTTGATTTGTCGCCAGAATTCGTGGTCTTGACCCAGGTCGAAAAAGTCAATCGTAAGAATCGTCTACTTTTCTGGAACATTGTGGCATTTGTTTACCTCAGCAACTGTATCCCATACCATACCTTGTATACAACCGCAAACGAAGTACAATGCTTAGCTGACAGGCTTACAGCAACACCCAACCCCATGACTTTCGATCTTTGGCCCCCGTTGATTTTACGGGATTGCCACCGATTTTTGAGGTGACATGTCGAGGCCCCCGCGCACAAAGGTTCATGATCACCTGTGCGGCTGGGTCCTGCAGGACAACAAGAACGGACCTTGGTGCAGAGGGATTGTCTGACGGAGAATTGGTGGGTTGTTGCATACGTGTTGCATACGTGGGCAAGTGGATACAACCATGGACAAAAGATCACAAAAGCATAAGTCTGAGCAAGAGTCCACAAAGAGAGGTAATTTCGATTTCACTGAGTCTCATGCGCAGTTCAAGACCTGACGTCCCTGTTGGCCCAAGCTTTGGAAATTCAAAGTATCTTCACTTCCCACCCTTCCCGGCGTTGGTCTTTGCGAACGAAGAGTTCTTTGGCATCAGCTCCTGTCAGGTTGGTGGTTTATTTTCAAATAGTGCCACCCTGGGGAGTTTCTTCACAAGAGTTGAAAGTGTTCCTCATGTCATTTGATTTTTTTCTCACAGGCCAGACCCCACATTTATTTCTCTGCCGGAATGTCATAAAGTCGTGGAAAGCTCTCGGCCACTCCATCCGGTCAATTCCCATGCGGTTCACATTGTACTTGCCCCTCGACCCAAGCTGCCTGGCATAAAAGTGCTGACCTCGCCTGCGGCCTGAGCAAAGGGACAGAATCTCCAAAACCGGATGCAAAGGTGGTAATCCCATCTTACTCAACCAGTGCATCATGCATTATAGGTGGGGCGTTGCTCAGGAGTTTGCTTGGAGGTGGAGGGACAAGTAGGGAGGAGAAAGGTCTTGGACATTGCTTGCCTGCACTCACCACCATCACCACTACCACCACCATCACCACCTTCATCATGACGATAATCCACCCTGAACCCCCAGAAAATTCAATGCCTAGAATAAACTTGAAAATGGCTGTGTTTCAAAGCTTCTACAGCCCAAAAAATGTTAATAGTCGTGCTTCTCCGTTGAGATTGTAATGCGTCGCTTCCTGGCTTTCAACAGTTACCAGCTTTGCTTTCCAGATTCTCTAAATTAGCTGCCAACGCTACTAAGGGATACTAAGGGCGTGCTTGTTTGTTTCACAACATCCTGGTATCAATCGGGAGCAAAGAATTTGAGGCTTGAGGCCTATTGTGTGACCTAAAGAGTAGGAAAGTTGATGCGCGCGTGTATGAGTAGCGATTCCTCAGGGGGCTTGCAGGGTCAGCGATGTCTATCAGATATCACGTGGACGTCTGAGGACTAATTGGAGCAGGACCAGAGACAAGCGTGTTGATTGTAGGTGATCAATCAAAATGATGAGAACCAACGCAAGACGATTTTGCGAGTCGAACCAAGACAGCTGGTGTTAAGAAAAAGTGATTATGCGATGCATGTTTGCAACCAGCACTTATGGGGACACATTCATGATGAATCAGGTTTTGCATCGACGGCAATGAGAAGGAGCTTGGGGGCGAGATTGGAGGTAGGAGGGAAAGGTGCCTGAAAAATCCTTTGGCAATGCAGCGCGCGGATGCTAAGATCAACTTTTCTGGAAAAAGGAAGGCTCGGACATGAGACAGGCACCGGTGTTCATCAATATTCTGATCGTTTTTCTGACTCCACAGATCTCCACATTCTGTTCACGTCGAAAAATATGGTTCTCCCAAGAAAATGAGGAATGTCTTGGAAATTGCTTTAAAAAGTGGTTGCCCAGGGGTGGTTCAATCTCTTTGGTTGTTTGCTAGAATCTCTCAATTTGGTACTCGATTTTTTTCACGCCAGGCATAATGATTCACCACGTTTCACAACCATTCCGGGATCTTAATATCTTAGCATATCTTAGTGCTCGGTACTGGTCAGCATCGTGTCAATTGGGGGGCAGCCTGTGTCGCAGCTCCAGGGCTGGAGTTGTAGCCAGTGGAGCCATCAGTCACGAAAATCGCCATCCTCCTCGACGAAATAACTGGATGATGTCTATCATACGAATCATACGATGTGCGTACACCTGGAAAATCGGGCAAAGAAGCATTCCAAGGATGGTGAACTGATACGAACTGATGTGAACTGTAGAATTTAAGAGAACTAAATCATGAATCTAGCAAGCATCCAGTTAGAAGAAGGCTATGTTGCACTTGACCCTCTTCATGAATTTTGAATTCTCTACGATGATGATCGGGTAGGAGGAGTCGTTGTATCCACGTCAAGAAACTGCATTTGATATCCATTAGGGTGGAGGGAAACGACGAAGGTGACGATGGCGGTAACCACTGGACCCATGTATCATCCGTCCTTGGACCTCTCAAGCTCCATCAGCACCTTGGAAACGCAGAGGCTGTCTGGTTTTGTCCACTCTGTGAAACTGGTGGAGTTTGGATCTTTTAGATCTTGCATTCCTGGAACCTAGAGTCAATGCGCCCTGCCTACGTATCCCCTAACTGAGAAGGGTGGGCCTTGTTGGGCCTTCACTGCAGATTTGTGAGCAGTTCATCTGCCCTCAACTGACAGTCTTGTTGTTTCTAAGACGAATGCAATCAGACTCCGGCCAGCTAAGCTGTGCTTTAAGGGGGAAGGTGCACGTGTTTTCAAACTATGCAAATGGTAACAGAAGACAGGATTTGAAGCGTTGTCACATTGGGCGCATGATGTTTCCACGCTTGCCCCTTTCCTCTGAAGATTGGCCCAATTCCCAGCATTCTGAGGAATCTGCCAAGACCTCACGTGGATGGCCGCACTAGCTTCCGAGCCACAAAAAGAAATGGCTCAACGGGGACGTTGAATCATCTTTGTAGAAAATGAACTCCATATCATATATTACACACTCCTTCGGTGGGAATACGTCCAGTCAACCTTTGACCCAACACGCAAGGTCTCTTCTAGCTTTGGACCACTGGGACACCACAAATTCACCCGGAAAACTAAAACCACTTGTATACCCATACTTGAATTCACGAGATGAATACTGCAGGCGAGTCTAATTCAGATCCAAGGCTTTTCAAGCTTATGATCCTACTGGACTGGCAGCGATGGATCGTAATGCTGCATGTTTTCGAATGCTTCCAGTGGCCGCCCTATTAGGGGCTTTTGATGCGGTCCATGTCACCTGCCCTGTAGATCACCCTGGGATCCGGGTCTCTGTGGGGACCCAAGCCCCAGAGCTTTGAAGTGATGGTTCTACATTGTTCTACCACATGAATGTTCTTTATGTTCGTTGTTGTGAGTGGTTCTGATCTTGGTGGCTATGATTCCAGATCAGTGTACATAGTGGGCAGTCTTTCGCATGGATTTTTTCTTGATTTAGCTATTGCTGCATATGCTTCTCCGGCCACGATCAAGGAGTGTCAATAAACAGTAAGAAACATATCCGCCATGGTCCGTCACGCCACTTTCAAAGAAAAGCAGAATGCATTCCGCAAAACACCTCACACCCCAACATCCGCAACTGTTTGAGCTATTTCGCTTGGATGCTGCGTTCGGTCTCTAGTTGAAAGCAGTTGAGCTGATTCCCAGTCCACTGCCCGAAATCAACCCAACCTCACGTCTCAGCACACACCCCAGCCTGAGAGGCAAAGGCACTGGGGATATATCGAGTAGATCCTTGAGCCTGAAGGGTCTATTTGCCCATACAACACATGTTGTCACACAAACTCGCTAACCAACTACAACTGCTTTTTTTATGTTGATGTTCAAATGGGTGTTCGATGAACTCCTGAGCATTGGAACAAGGACCTGCAACCCTTCAATCATGGCCTGACATGGTACCTGCAGGCGGGCCCATGCAAACTCAGGTAGCTCCACTCAATTCTATAGCGACCCCTGGTCATATCTATCTTTTATCATGCAAGTTGTGTTTTACATGTTCAATTTCCTCCGTAATCTCTATAACCAGGTATCTAATGTACATAATTGTACATACCAATACAAGTGTCTGTAGCTCCAGCTTCAGCGCACATTTCATCTCCATGTGTGGTGCTGATCCAATGACTGCCACGCCCGAAAAGTCCCCGCACGTCGGAAATCACAAGATCAACTGCTGTGGCGGCCTCACAAGGAACAAAATGACATGCAACAGGAAAGATGCCCCAAACAATTTGAACAGAATGTGAGGTGCCAGAGCACACTTGCTGCGGCCGCACCTGGGTGGCACCATTTGCGACTGGGATGCCTCAAGGCGACATCATGGTGATATCCATTTCTGGACAGCAAAAGAGTCGTTCACTTCAGGGGCCCCGAGCTTTGAGTCAGAACTAACCAAGTGTAAGTCTTCTAAAGAAATGTGTACTGTGCAGTTTCTCGGTTTAACCAGCACTCTGTGACCACTTCGCAACCATTCCCTCACAAATTTGGTTTTAAAATCATCAAAAATCAAGCGTTTGTCTATCTTTTGAACATGGAAAGGTTGTAATCCTAAATGCCCATGTTTGCTGGCTATTTGCTGGTTATTTAATGGTTAACCATGTGCAACCAGCGGTTCCCTTGCCTCGTTTGGCCATCTGCAGCTCCAGGTGGCCGGTGCTCAGCTCCAAGCGCCGCGTGGCAGCGGGGTTCCTCAGCGCCCGTCTTTGGTAGTTCTACATATGGGAATTCTATGATAATTGTAAGGATTTATAGGGTAATTATAGGGTAATTATATGGTAATTATAGGGTAATTATAGGGTAATTCTGTGAGAATAATAGGGTAATTCTATGATCACTATAGGCTAATTATATGGGAACCCCTTCTCGTATTTTCAGTGTAATTCGATGTAACTATATGTAATTACTTACATATAATTCTGTGGGAGAAATATGTGTAGGAAGCAACTCATGAAATTTCACTGGATTTTATGGGTATATGGTTGGTTTGTGATTTAGCTTCAAGCCAAAACGAAGTCAAAGAATGGGATTGAACAGGAGCCCTCGAGTGGACAAAGTTCCCCACCAACGTGATAGCTCCTTTGCTTCGCAAACCATATCAGTACTGTGTGGGGACACATCTCTCTCAAACTTGTCAAATAGCGCTGTGATTGCATACGGAATCCGTATCTAAACAACTGTAAATCATCAGCCACGGTAGCTTTTTAATGGCGGCATGTGAACATTCACACGCACGTAGCTGCCACTGGCCGTGGAGTAGATACCATTCCAGTTTCTTCCTTGTGATGGTACTGGGAAAACAGTAAGCCTGGCAACAGACCAGTTGGCCGAGTATCCATTGCTGCCCCAAAGCCAACGTGCCCTCATTCACAGTGTGAGAAAGAATCAGCACGCAGGAGCCACACATGGTCGCACCTTTGAAGCCAATTGGAGGGGAAACAAAAATACAAGTTCTGGTCGATCCATTGGTTTTTCTTTTCAGCAGATTCAAGAAAAAGAATGACTTCGGCCTGGAAAGATGTGATGCAGAATCTTGGCAGCCTAGTGTGATCAAACCTTCCAAAATTTTCTGGCTGGGATCTTGCAAGGTTTGTCATGAGAGATACCTACTGTCCCATAGTTATGCTAGCTGGGTCATATAATCTTATCCTTAGGCCATGTAGCAATTTGCCTTCCTGCACTTTCAGCAAAACTTGCTGACTCACGAGCACAACAGCCATGAGTGCACTTGGAATTGTTTGCTCTTCCAGTCCTTGCAGTGGTCCAATAAGTCGTCTGAAACTCTCCAGCTGTCACCAAGCCGTCACCACCCTCGCCTCTAGGCATCGCCAGCTGTCGCAACGCGCGCCAAGCCCAAGTGAGTCGCCACCTGAATCGTGTGGGACCATCCAGAATCCAGTGTCCTTTTCTCGGTCCTATTGCCGGTCCCGAAGTCTAATACGGATCCTGAAATAAAACAGGTGTTTCATTGTTTTTTTCTATATAGATTCTGAAAATAAATGAAGAGATAAATAAATAAATTTATTAATACAATAAATTAACAAAGTAATATATAAATAAATGATAATAAATGAATGAATAAATATATAAATTATTAGTAATTATTAAAAAACCCTCTTGCAAACCAAATTTGTTGTGGTTTGCACCAACTCGTTGACCTCCACCCGACCACCCGATTCGGACGTGCCACCTATGTGCCCAGCTGGAGGCTGAGGTAAAGGGTGACAACAAGGAAGTGAGGCCATCCACCACCACCTGGGCCACAGAGGCCTGGATGCTCTGAGATCTAGTTGCTCTGTGTTGCTCTGTGCGGCTGTATGATACAGATACAACTTGATACAACTGCATACAACTGCTATCAATGCCAACAAGGAATCACTGCTCTGACAACTCGGACAGGGCCAAGGCCAGGCCGGGGCTAGGTTGCTAGGTGGATAGGCAAGCGCCCTTTTGTCAGCACATCTTCTGTTCTGCCATGCTTGTGTTGGCACACTGTCAAGATCTGTCAAGGCTGCAAGGAAATTCCACAGCCTCACCACAAAGGATGGTGCAGCTTACCCTGTCCACAGAAGTGAGAAGTTCCTTTCCCCTTGGCCGCTCAAAAAGGACCACTGTAGCCTTGTTTATGTAATGCTGAAGAGCTCAAGGGACTTTAGGGGATTTTAAAATGGCTTTGAGGAACTTCACCAATACTTTGGATGACCAAACGTCCAAGCCAAAGAACTACAGAGGCTTGCGAGCCTCAAAGGTGGCTTTCCAGCCGGACTTCTTGTCAATGAAATAGACATGGCCATTCTGCACAGGTGAAGGATCTGCACACCAGGACTCGATTTGTTCAGCCACTTCATCAAGATTAGCCCATGTGTTAAAATCAGCATCTGGCATTGCTTGTCGATTTTGCTCGGTGTTGAGGATCTGCGGGGCCAAACCAATGGTCTTAGTGCCACTGGGCAAGGAATCTGACTCCGCCAGTGACCGGACCAAGTGATGTACTGCCACCTTCGCTGTGCCATAAGGTAAGCTCCAAGCTGTGGGAGACCATGCCGCAGCTGCACCGGGGAGGATCAACAGCCCCCCAGTCTTTAGCATCTGCGACGAGACGTAGGATGCCACGATGGAGCTGTAAACCGAAGATTCGACCATGGCCATAGTGGTGGCAAGCACTGCTGGATCCTCCGCAGTGCCCATAGCGAAGCCACCTGCCAGGTTCACCACAGCATCCAAATGTGCCAAGTTTGGCAGTTGACCTTTCAAAAACTCCACCAAGAGCTGTCCTCACCAGGGAAAGGCTGGATTCCCATGGGGAGTCTTGCTGGATCATTTCAACTTATATTTCAAGTCAAACATCTATATTCTGTCCCTGACACCCATGACTCATCCTCCAAGAATCGCAGTTGGGGTGCTATAATTCTGGCCGCAAGAGAGGCCAATGGATCCCAGTCAACGCTGATCGAGATCGTGCTCTATTCATATATACAGTATACATACATATTATATAAATACAGTAGTATATATACAGTAGTATATACAGTAGTACATACATCTGTGTGTGTGCGTGTTTCCAATCCCAGGTTGTCCTTGTTGAGCCCTCTCGGGGCTGTCAGATGGCAGCATCTGGCAGAAGGAGAGGCCTTTGCCAGCCCCTTTCGGGAGTGTCAGGTCCTGAAAGAATCGCAATGGATGTCCCCCTCCATGAAAATAGCTTGGGAGGGGTAGTGGACCTTCAAATTGTGTACTTGCTCACTGCCAAAGTCCATCAAACCCCTCACACTGCGAGCAGGAATAAGACTCTCTGATGATCTGGAAGAAACTAATCAGTATAAGCAGAAACAATTATTCAAATTCGCGAGACCGTAGACCTGTATCTCCAATAGCAATGGTTGTATGCTCGTCATGGCTTGTTGTACAAACAATACAATGATACTGGATGGTGAGAGACTTTTGGCTTCTAGGACTTTGACATCCTGGAGTCGCTCAAACACACATTCAATACAATGATATAGTACACTCTAGTACACTATGGACTGTAGTGTACCTGGAAAAGTTTGCCAATCATCTGATGGGGGTCCGCTCCAATGGTATGCCAGTTGCTCTCCAAGAACTTTTCGCTCACTCGCCGTCCAAGCTGACCTGCAGCACCCAAAACCAACACCTTCCGGGCTGCCATGATGCCACTGCTAAACCTTCGAGCCACCGAAGCTATGTTGGAATTGGATGGAATTGGTTCTTAATGCAAAATGTTGCTGTGATACTTCACCCAAAATGTGGCGCTTTCATGCACTTTCCACATCTGGACCTCATGTCAAGGCTGCCATAGTGGTTGAAGCCAGCCAAAAAGCTTCGGTCAGAGACGTGTCGTGTACACTGCTTTAAGCCGTGCAAAATAAGGTAAAGCCATGGTGGGTTTTAAGACATGCCCAGAAAGCAACCCAAAGACACTATCTGAACTGTGTGCAACTGTGCAACAGGGAAAAAAACTACTCATTCCCTCCTGTACGGTACAAATACATGTTTCCCTTCTGAAGTAGACCATCATACATCGGAGATCCTGCAGTTGATCTTGGCTTCTGCAATTGTCCAACACCTCTGAGGGTCCAGCCAAAGGCTTGGAGTTCTGCTGGGACTTCAAAGTGTCTCCAAAGCTGAGAATGATCTTGGCAAAGTCCTTGCTGGGTAAAATGTGTCACCAAAAAAGCTTAAACAAGTTGCTAGGCATGGTCCTGACTTGAGTTCTGTCAAAACCGCCCATCAATTCACAGCTCCAACGGCTCCAGTACCACACAGTACTTGTTCGACTTGTTCGACTTGTTCGACTTGTTCCCCTTCCAGTCATTTCCATGGAACCATTCATGGAAACATCTCCCCACTCACTCAACCACTCTGACAAAGGATCTGCGAAATCCATGGCTTGGTAGATGCGAAGTCGATCCAGAGCTGCTTCATTCATCTGGGGGGCGGGGAAAACTGAGCTTGGCGGTACTTCATGAGCTTTGAGGAAATCTGCACTATTTAACGTATTTCCATGAAGGGAATATTTCGAAACAGTTGATTCAGTTGATATTTGTCGTGGTGGAAAACTTCTGCATCTGCTGTCATTTCTCGATCTCCACATAGAAAGGAACCGTCCCGATAGGGGGGGTGGTGGTTGAACAACCAGGGCGGGCCTGCCTGCCCCCCCCCCACTGCCGAGAACAACCTGGGGGGGTTGTTGTTCAATTAATCCCGGGGGGTTGTTCTCGGCGAAGGGGGGGGTGAGGTAGCTTTTCCCTCTATTAGGGGAGCCCTGGAGACCTATGAACACCTGCGGACAAGAAGTGGCTGCTGCACTCTCTTTTTACACTACGCGGTTTGCTGCTAGTCTTGAGCCATGCGGAGTGCGCATGAGAGATATGAATTAAGTATACATGTCAACATGCATGAATGCGTTGTGAAGACACGTAAACAAAAATAAATCACAAACAGACACAAATTTTCTTCGTGTCGGAACATGCAAGTCTGTTTCACAGGTAACGCTCAGCCTGTGATCTGCTGTGAGACGGTCCGAAGACAAAAACAAAACTGTACAGAAGCTACTCTCCGCTGTTGGAAAGCGGTATTTTCTATTGGACGAAAGCGACCGCAAATGCGGAACATTGCAATTTTTTGGGGCTACAAGCCCATAGTGAAATAGTAACCGTAAAAACTCAATTCGTTCCTCCTTCTTAGCTCACCGGTCTGATAAAAGAAAATGGACTGATCCGGTGTCTGCGGGATCATGTCAAGCCACGATCCGTCATATTTCTGGACCCAACGCTGTCTGGGTATCTGGTACCCTGGGACGTATTCTACTTGAGTGGTGTTGGGATTTACTCTGTAGTGCGACGGCTGATCATAGCTGTAATCGTAATTACGAGATACGGAAGAGCTGGAAGCTGTTCCTTGGTTAAGCCATTGTGTACCCGATATTCGGGATGGAGGCGCCGGAGGTTCAGGTACGTTGATCGGCCTTTTTCTGGTCGTTTGCCTCTGCTCAGTCTGCTGAGATCTCTCTCTCCACGGCGGTGGAGTCTTCGGCGGTCCCGGTGGATCAGGAGGCGTTCTTGGCTGCTGTGCACCTAGTGTTCGTCCGGGAGCCGGAACTGGAGGAGCCTTTACAGGCGGCCTAGCACTAGAGGAAGATCCTGATGACGTCGGAGCTGGTGATTCTTTCAAGGATCTCGGTGCAGCTTTATATTTCACAGGTTCAACTGGTCTGGCCTTTGCTGCTGGACCTCGCACAGGTGCCGGAGGCGGTGCTGGTGTTTCAGCTCTGGGTCGATATGTTCTGGTCCTGCTGACCGATCGACTTCGAGTGCGTCCAACATTTCTGTGAGAGTCAGTCCGCAGCGGCGGAACACTATCTCTCCTCTCTTCTCGTTTTTCGAGATATCCTTGAGTTCGCTGCATCCATTTTTCACGTCTTTTATCTTCAGATTCCTTGGATCGGATGCGCATATTTTTCAATGCCTTCAACTGGGCGTAAGCAAGGAGAGGTGAGTGCCATGCACAGTCCTTTTCTGCCAGACCAAGGTCGTATGCCATCAAATGTTTTAGCTGTTCAACATCGTTCAGCATAACTTCGTCGGAGAAGGCAGATCCTGCAAACCCATCGGCAGAGGCTGATTCTTCTTTTGCACGTGCTTCCGTGACAGCGATCTGCTTACCGTAACAAAGAGAAATTAAAAGCATTGAATCACAATCAGAATCATCTCCACGCATACTGCGGATGTAATTGGCTGCAGTGGTCGATGAAACTACGTTATACGTAATACGGTTTATCGGGCTGCGGTGAAGATTAATCTGCTGAAGGAAACGCTCCAAAATGTCAATTAAAATACATGTCCGGTAGTCGGAGTGATCGTCTGCCTTAAAGCTTCGCTGTGCGAAAAGATTCCCGTCACCGGACAAAAAGTCGCACTGATGTTCGATACAGCTTGCGACAAATTGGAGCCATTTCTGGCACGTTTCTTTATAGGCATTACTCCATGCGTATGAGGAGATATGAAAAACCGCAATGCGGCATTCAGCTAACATGAGACGTCGGACGTCATGAGTGTCGGCTCCAAGATTCACTTCACAAGCTTCCACGCCGGAGACGGCAAGGTCGTCATCTCCGTCGATCTCACAGATCGAGTGATCAAGAAAATCGAGTGAGGATGCAAGTGGGCGATCGTGCTGGTACACCGTAGATTCAGCATTTTTCTCGATGTCCGGTTTCGGAACACGAGTGCCAGTGGAAGGATCAACAAATTCTCCTGACGTGTTCATGCCATGGCAAACACGAAAAATAGCACCATGCAAAATCCAAAAGGGTGCATCTTTGGTAGAGGTTTCAATTTGGTGATGACACAAAAGTTCAATAAAGGAGCCGGTATCATGTGAGCCACGGATAAAAATTGCAACGGACTGTGACTGGATGTGCGGATGCACTACCATTCCAATCATACCGTACTCATCGGCTAGTTCTCGATGGACGGCAATGCCACCGTACTCATCGGACGCCTCGCACAGGCACACAATATGGGCCGCATTACGGAACACTAAATGTGGCAATGCACGGTGGTTGATATCAGTTCGTACCCATTTTGGAAATTTGGCACAACCTCCGATAAACGGAAGACGGTTGATGTGACCAAGATTCAAAGTCAAAATACCAAGCTGATACGTGTCCTTCTGAAACTCATGGATGTTCTCCTTAGTGCGCTTGGTAACACCAAGGATTGCTCTTTTACCAAGAAGGCACGATCTGAAGAGTTCCAATAAACGGAGAATCTCTTCTGACTTAAGGTCACCGCCATCAGGGTACTTGAAGAAAGCCTCAGGTCGCCAGATCGGAAGGGGCGTCTGGTCCTGGGCATCAACAAAGTGCTCCTGGAGAGTCGGAATTCGACATCCAAATGGCATTTCATAAATGTATTCGGTATAATCAAAATCTTCAATTCCATGACGAGCAAAAGATTGAAGGTAAGTGTTTCCAATTGAGCGGCCCTCACGCAGATGCGTGATCAGTTCCGAGAATTTGTCTTGGCGATTTTGAGCATGCTCTCGACGTGTTGCGCCGAAATACGACGACTCAGCCAGTACGGCATCAACCAGTTCTTCGATGTCGAAAGGTGAGTTGGATGAGCCGATGCTGTCTGGAATAAAGTCGGAGGACAACTCTGAGGAAAAATTAACAATATTATGTTTGCAAGACAAGCCGCAGGTGCGGCATTCCAAGCAGTAGGCAAAGCCACAAGGGTGGCACCAGAACATTGCCTCTGAACATCCACATTCTTCAAAATTCTTACAGCATTGAGGACCCGCAGGGCGAGGAAACCATTGAATTTCTTCCGTGTCCTTTTTAAACTTAGTGAAAAACTTTTGGGCGGCGTCCGCATCGCGGAACAAATCCTTTGCCTGAGCGTTCATTTCACGGCGTCTTCTGGTCTTGACAACCTGTCGGCGGCCGCCCCAGGGAGATGCTGCTTGAAGATCAACTTCAGCGTCAGGATCAACTTGGCCGGATGCTGGATCGGAGCTAGCCGCAGCGGCGGCATCCTTCGGTTTCCTTGGCATAGGCTTGGCCTTAACAGGTCCTTTGGGAGCTTCACTCTCCGAGGCGGAAGACTGCTCCTTGTTTCGCTCTTTGGCAAGATGTTTCTTAAATCGTTCGGAAATTTCTGCCTTGAGAGTTTTTACTCTCTTGTCTGCCTCGGTCTCAGGTGGGCCAAGCTCTTGGTCGTTCGGAGTTGCTTCTGTTCGCAGAGGCCTGGCCGGACCGGAATCGGCACTACGGAAACTTTCCAAAAACTTCTTTACAACTGGGAGTTTCTCGATTTCTTCTGCCACATACTCCATATATTCGGAACGTGACCATGTGAAACCATCTTGTTCATTCTCATTCTTCTTCTCCCAGTAAAGTTGATGGTGGCAGACATGCATGGCAAGGTCAATATTGGATGTATAATCATTCATTCGCCTTAGCTCTCCCGGTTCCGGTGCAACAAGCCAGGATCGATCAACGAAGGACCAAACACCGCAAAAGCGATTAAAAGGCACGGTCTGATCTGTGAGGACGTACCTGTTGTGAGTGATCACTGGACCAAGGCCGGTAACGGCACCAGGTCTGGCTATTAGGATGCAGTCTGATTCGGGACGTAATACGTCTCTGATCGTACTGAGTGCAGAATCAAGAGTGAAATGCACATGGTTCCTTCCACCACGGGTGCCTCCTGGGAGCAAACCTAGTCTTCGGATGGATTCAAGATTTTTCTCGTTCGCTCCATGGACGAGGTACCTTAGTGGGAAAACATCAGGCTTAAACGGGCAATGCTGAATTTCAACCTCAGTGGAATGTCCACTCTCAAAACGGATAAAAATGCTCGCAATGTCGAGACCATCAAGCAGGTCGGCTTGGCTTTCCCTGTTGACCTCATCATCGAAGTCTGCCGGCTTAAACCACGTGTCCGGTATCGGAACAATGCCTGGTTGGAAATCTTCGGTGGTTACATAGCCGATCATGGCCCTGGCTTTGTTAGAGTCGCAGATTACGTGGGCCAGGGGCATAAGGAAAGTAACAGTGTTTTCTCTCTGTCGGACCTGCATTGAAAGCTCATTAGAGTCAAAATCTTGCAAAAATTTGGTCCTTCACGGTACAAAGCGCGAATTTTTCTGGCTGTGCCAGGATGGCTAATAAGCTCATGTAAGGACAATGATCCGTCACGGTGCATTAACTTCGTATGCCGAAAGATATAAGACAAGTGACGTGACATGGTCTCATAATGGCTATCCGCTAATGCGGAATCATGGTCCTCCTTGGTCTTGATACCGGATTGCTTTCTGAGGACCTGAGAAATGCACTCAGCAAAAATGCGGCTGTTCGACTGCACAGAGTCAAGAGGCGCGCCGAATGCATCGTCTATGGCCCGGCTACGAGATTCGTATGTC